GTCACCTCTCCTCACACTCACCCAGCCTTCCCCACTATGCAGAAGGGGGAAAACACCTGCAAGTCTTCACCCACCTGGGCCAGATGTTTCAGATGTCTCACCTGGCCACGTCTCCCTCCTGCTTCCATTCTGACCCTCTGTCATGGGCACAGCAATCACACCAACTTGCAGACAATACCCAGTGCTGGGTCTGCAGCTTAGCCAATAACACACTTGATTGTTCCTGCAATATGGAGAGAAAGACCTTCAGAGTGGAACCTTCTCTTCCAGGGGACTCTGAGTACCCAGTGAGGGTCCTGGATGAAGCCTAAGGCCAAGGGCATGGCTTCCCTGGCTCTCCAGGGAACACAGGTCAGCTTAGCATGGGTTGTTATTCATGAAAATCTCCCAAAAAGTTCAGAGAAGGTTGAGATGTCCATGTGGCCTGCTGTAGTCATTGTTCCTCCTTCCCTTAGGACAGCAGCAGTGAACAAGGCTGAAGGTTCATAGGGGGTGACTCCCAAAGGACAGGCTCTCACCATGGATCTCATAGGGACGTCTACTCAGCTCCTGGGGCAGGGCTGGTGGGGCTTCTGCACCTCCCCCCCCCACACACACACATATAGGGTCAAGCAGAAAATGTCCTTAGAACAAGCAAGGTGCTTTTTAAAGTCTTCCTAGTTACAGCTTTCGCACAGGCTGTGGTTGTTTTCTGCATTCCGTGAAAGCCCCTTTCAGAATCCAGATAGGCATTCTCCAACTTTGAATTTTTTTTAAGATTTACTTATTTATTTGAACATCTGAGTTTCAGAAAGAGAGAGAGAAAAAAAATCTTGAACTCACTGGTTCATTCCCCAATTGGCTGCAACAGCCAAGGCTGGGCCAGGCCAAAACCAGGAGCCAGGAGCTTTGTCCAGGCTCCCACATGGGTGGCAGGACCAAGCACTTGAGCCATCATGCTGCTCTTCCCAGGCCATTACCAGGGCTATATCAGAAGTGGAGCAGCTGGGACAGGAACCAGTGCCCGAACAGAATGCTGGTGTCACAGGCAGCAGCTGTATCCCCTATACCATGATGGCCCCCAACTTTGAATTCTTGAAGTAGGGGTGCTGCAGCAACAAGAATTAGCTCTCCTGCCCGAAAGAACTAAAAATAACAGCAACCACAGCAACAGACAAAATAGAGTATTTTCAAGATCCTTGACAGCTAGCAAAAAGAAGTGACAGGAACGCAGCGGGTGAGCCCTGTCATTGCTCCAACTCACTGTCCTCAGAGAGTTTCCAAGATAAACAGAGGGAGAGGAAGGTGAAGATGGGCCCAGTGGGCCCTTTGGTAGGAGGACACTGAGCTGAGAGGCCAACAAAGACAAAGTATCATTGAGTCTGTAGGGGGCGCCCGGGGGGGGGGGTCACAGAAGGCGCCTTCTGAGCACACAGCACAGTGTGACCAGGCCTGCACACAGGAAACCACCTAGTGTAGGGAAGTTGTTTCAAAAGCAGAAACCAGTGCCTGTCCCTCACTCAGGGCCAGAATAGTGACTGTTTCCAAAAGACAGACTTTTTCAAAAAACAAGCAAGCACGCAAACACACAAAACCCCTCCGTGCTCCATTCAGCCAGCACCGTGCGCTCCTCGCCAGGGCCCCAGAGCGCCCAGAGCCCCACCCCAGGGCCTCACCGCGGCCCTCAGCCTCCGGAGCCGCCGCGCTCCCAAGGCCACGCCCACCGCCGCGTGGCCCTGCGCTTTCCCGCCCTCCGCAAGCCCCGCCCACCCACCCGTTGCCCTCAGCCCTCACACAGCCCAGGCCCCTGCGCCCCGAGGGCGCCATCGATGACCCTCAGCGCGGCCTGCAGGCCGCGAGGGCCCTGGGGCTGCCGCCCCCCTGGGGACCCCGGATGCGGACCCGCTTCAGAAAACAGAGCTGTGGACAATGGAGGACCCCGCGCCAGGGCTCCGGAACGGGGACAGCGGTGCGGGGTCACTTGAGGGCCGCCTTCCGGAACCGGAGTCAGAGAAGACAGGGAACCGCGGACGCGGGGCGGACCCCGCGCCGAGGGACAGGGTTCCAGGAGGACGGGGCCGCCCCAGGCTCAGGACGCCGCTCCTCGGGAGGAGGATGCGGGAGCCGCGCCCACAGCTCCTGGGAGGGCGGGAAGGGCCGGGCCCCTGGAGGAGGCCGCGGGGCTGCGGAGCCCGGGCGGCAGGGGGCGCTCTCCGGGACCACAGCCTCTTGTTTGTAACTCCAGGCCTTTCATTCTTACTGTTGTGTTTATTCATGGGAGAGAGAGAATTACAGAGAGGGGAGAGGCAGAGAGAAAGGTCTTCCATGCTCTGGTTCGCTCTCCAGATGGCCACTACAAGGGGTCTCCCAGGCAGGAGCAGGCCCCAAGCCCTCGGGCCATCTTGCATGGCTTCCCCAGCCCATTAGGAGAGAGCCAGAACGGAAGGGGAGCAGCCGGGACAGGAACCAGCGCCCATGGGGGAAGCCGGCCCTGCAGGCGGAGGCTTAGCCCACCAGGACACAGCACAGGCCCGTCCCACGGCGTTTCCGGTGCTGTGCCGAGAAACTGACTTGAAACTTAGCAGACTCCAGGAGCTAGAATCCTGCTGTCTTTTCTCTTAGAGGAGGCCTTGCCTCCTGCATGGGGGCTTGTAGTGTATAACTTTGTTGCAGGCAGAAGTCTCTGAGGGTTAAAGTGCAGTTAAGGAAGTGAGGTTAAGGTGGCTGCAGGTCATCCCGCACTGTCTTGGGCTCAGAGGCTCTGGAGCTGGCGCAGTCACACTAAGGAGAGGAGCCCAGGAGCTGCAGCGTGGGGGGGACAGGGCGTGCACAGAAGGGCAGGGTCCAGCAGCCAGGTGGCACAGCAGGTTAGAGCCCCAGCCTGTAGCCCCGACCTCCATGGGGGCTGCTCCACTGGCTCTGCAGCTCTCTGCTGTGTCCCTGGGAAGCAGCCAAAGATGGCCCTAGTCCTTGGGCCTCTGCCCTGGTGTGGGAGACTTGGCAGAAGCTCCTGGCTCCTGACTTTGGATCAGCTCAGCTCTGGCCATTGTTGTCATTTGGGGAGTGAACCAAAGACCTCTCTCTCTCTCTCTCAGGCTCGACCTCTCTCTGTAACTCTGTCTTTCAAATAAAATATAATAATTATTAAAAGAAGAAGAACCAGGGCAGTGTCTTTTCCCGTGGGCCACACTAGTTCACTCATCTTCCCTGAAAGGTTGCTGGGCCCAAGCCAGCTCCTCCCCGGGGTTTGAGTCATTCAGTTTGTTCTGCACCTGTTCTCTCCATCCTTATCCTCTCTATGTGTGTGTGTGTGTGTGTGTGTGTGTGATTTATTATTTATTATTTGAGGGTTATCACTACAGAGAGAGGGAGAGACAGAAAAAAGGGCTTCCATCTGCTGGTTCACCACCGAAATGGCCTCAATGCCTTCCTCTGGGCTGATCTGAAGCCAGGATTTATCCGGGCCTCCCACATGGGTGCAGGGGCCAAAGCCCTTAGGCCATCTTACACTGCTCTCCTAAGTGGTAAGCAGAGAGCTGAATTGCAAGAGCAGCAGCTGGGACATGAACCGGCTCCCACACGGGATCCTGGCCCGACTGACAGAGGCTTCCCCTACAAAGCCACAGCCGGGCCCCATCTCCTTCTACTTTAAATCAGATGTGGAGAAATCCTGCCTGAACCCCATGCTCACATTAATGAGATTGCAGGGATGTGTGGGAAGGATCCCTCCTCCAATAGGGTGAAAACAACACCTGTGTCTTTTGTGCTTTTTCCACATAAATTCTTAGGTGCTTCTTCTGGTCATATGAATAATGTGTCCTATTTTGTGGGGATTGCCTTGAATTTGTAAATTGCATTGGATAGAGTAGACATTTTCATCATGTTAATTCTTGTAATCCGTGGACATGGATGTCTTTCTAGTGTTTGTGTCTGCTTCAGGTTCTTTCACTGGTGTTTCATAATAGTCATGGTAGAGAAGACACTAAGAAATGGACAAGTAGGAGTACTTTCTACATGGCTTGGCAAACATTTTAATGAGATGTAGGGGCAAAGCATTGAGGCCTGTCTGTGTCTAGCACACAGTAACTGCTCAGTCACATTAGTTCTTACAGTCCATCACCCTCTGCTCTTTCAGATCTTCTTCCTTGTCTTAGACACATGGATAACTGTTCATGGTGTGATGGACCATTCTACTCACATAAGTTAATGTTCCTCAAATGATTTAAATGTTTAGTATTATTAATAATGTCTCAAGGAGCATCATCTACATATATTTGGTATGTCCCTTATTAATTGTGAAGACTTCTCCAGGTTGTATCCTGTAAAGGGAATTGCAAGATCAAAGTTCTGGTACATTCCTGATGGTGCTGTTCTGGCCCCATTGCCTGGCAAGAAGATTTTCCCATTCACATTCGCAGCCACTGATGAGAATGTTCTTTTCTATACCCCCTTGCAGAAACTAGACAGCCCCTGTTACCTTCTGTTAACTTTTACCAGCACTTAACTCTTTATTGTGAGATTTTATCAACTCAGATTACACTCAATAGGCCTGGAAAGGCTGCGATCAATGGGATGGTCTGTGTTCTCTTGTATTGGATGACTGCTCTGTTCTGAGATAATCAGACAACAGCAGTGTGAGCACACGAGTCTTGCACGGTGGACGACACTGCGTGTTGGGTTCCTGCAGTGTTCTGGATTTTGTGTGTGAGGCCCTCTTTCTGTCGCTCTTTCCTTTCTTTCTGCCTGCTTCCTTATTCTTTCTTTCCACTGACTTGGGATTGGTCTGCTCCTGTTTACTAGGATTTTTGAGATACTTTGTTAGGTTATTGGAAGTCTTCTAATTATTTGATGTAGGAACTTAATCCCATAACCTTTCCTCTGCATACTACTTTTAGAATTTCCTGTAGATTCAGTGTGTTGTGCTTCCATTTTAATTAGTTCATGGAATTTTGAAATTTCCCTCTTGGTTTCTTATCCAGCCTTTATGTATTTGCATACCTTTGGGGGTTCTTGTTGTTGATTTCTAGTATTATAGCATCCATGTTCCATGTGCAGATGAAAAGAATGTGTATTCTGCAGCTGTGGAGTGAAATATCTGTACTCATCTGTTATGGCCATTTGGTCTGTAGTAGTTTCTCTCTGATGCTTGTTAATTTTTTTCCAGGTGATCTCTTCCTGTCGAAGAAAGGTGAGTGTTGAAGTCCCCCACTATTACTACATTAGAATTCATGTGTCCTTTAGATGTAATAATTTTGTTTTATAATTAGTGTGCTGCAGCAATGGGTTCGTATGCACTTACCATTGTCACATCTTCTTGTTGGATCAAACCCTTGATAATCATATAGCAACCATCTCTGTTTCAGTTTTTATCATCAAACCTATTTTATCTGATCCAACCATAGGTACTCTTGCTCACATCTGATATCCATTAGCATGAAGCATCTTTTCCCATCCTTTCCCTTTCAGTCTCTGTCTTTACTAGTGTGTTCTTGTAGGCAACTTGTGGTTGGGTCTTGGTTTTCATCCAGTCATCCTGTCTGTATCTCGTAACTGGGTAATGTTGTCTGTGGACATTCACAGTTATTATGGATAAGGGATGGGTAAGAACTTGATTTTTAGAAATTCATCATTTTGTTGTGTGAGTACCCTATGTTTTTTTCCAGTGGGTTTTCTGTCATGTGTCTTGATAGTGGCAGTGACTCCTTATTCCAAGTCACTTGCAGAGGCTCTGGGGATAGGAACTGCACAGGCAGACAGTGCTCCTGTCTCAGGAAGACCCTTTTCTGGCATAGGTGCCTGATGGTCTCTAGAGGTGGTCACAGAAACTCATTCTGTGTCTGACTGCAATCACTACTTGATCCTTTCAGTGTTCTTTGGTCCTGCTGTGTCACCCAGGAATCAAACTGAATATCAATGACAGATCTTAGCACCAGAGTGACTCAGGGGAAGCACATTCTCCAAATGGCCAAATGATGTCCCTGTATAACAAAGGAGGAAAATTCCTCAGTTCTTTGGATGTCACAACATCAGGTGCACTTACCCAACTGGTAAATATTTCTACCTGTGCAGAAATTTGTTGGATTGATAACATCAGATTTTTCCAATTGGTTTTTATTGTCCATGTTCTTGTGGTCTTAGCCCAAAAACTGTGTTGACTCTGCCCATTTCTTAGAGCATTTGCTCCATGTTTTCCTCTGTTAGTTTCATAGTTTCAGATCTTACATTTAGATCATGATCCAGTTTGAGTTGATTTTTGTAAATTAAAATCTATTTTCCCAGTCCCATTAAAATAGATGTGCATATCTCCATGGAATGTTTTCCACACCTTTGTCAAAAGTAAGTGGGATGTAGGTGTGTGTATTTCTAGGGGTTCTCTTTTTTCCATTGTCCTATGTGTCTGTTGCTATGTTGGTACCATACTGTTTTGGTCTCAGTAGCCTTGTGGCATATCTTTAATTTTGAACTGTGGTGCCTCCATCTTTGGCTTCATTGTGTTAAGAATATTTGAGTATTCAGAGCCTTTTGTGTTTTCATAAGAATTTTAAGATTTTTTTCTTATTCTGTGAGGATGTCATCAGTATTTGATGGAGACTACATTGAATCTCTAAATTGTTTTGGGTAGTTTTGATATTTTAATAATATTGATTCTTCCAAATCAAGAATATATGAGGGAATTCCATTATTTTGTGTCTGCTTCATTTTCTTTCATTAGATTCAATGTGTTTGAATTTCATTGAAGAGGACTTTCACATGCTGGTTGAACTTATCACAAGGTATTTAATTTTTTGTATCTGTATAGAATTAGATAGCACTTACCAATTCTCATCATGATGGTTGAGTAATAATAAGGCCATTGATTTGGAATTCCACACTGTGTAGCTAATAAAGAATTACTAATCCAGAACACATAAGGAATGGAAACACTTCCCCTGTCAGGTGGAGGCCTCACAGCAGGAATGTGGGATTTCCCTGGGTCATGAAGGGGGATGTGAGTGAGTTGGAGGTGTTTGTTACGTGTGGATGCTGTGTGTGATCCATTCCATCTGTGCTACTCTGACATTAAACACACTGCTTATCTGCCCCATGTGCAGGGGACATAGGGTGACAATGACAGTGACTCTAATTCAGCAAGGGCAAAAATGGAGCCTACAAGGAAGTCATGAATCCAAAAGTTTTCAAGTTGAGATGGGCAAATCCAACAGGACTTCCTGGGATAGGTTTCAAGGCTGAGGACTAATCCTCTGTGATGTGGGGCCTTGCCTCTGGGTCTCAGCCTGTGATACTTCCTTCTTCATTTGAACCAGTACTTGTCTTTTCTTCTCACACTCCTCTGATGTGTGTCTTCTTCCTGGTGTTAGCAGCCTTCTCTTGGTTGTTTTGCACATACACCTTACCTGAGTCAGTCTGCCAATGCCCCGTGCTTGGCTCTGACCACATTCTACCAGGGGCTGTTCTCACGATCTCAGGCACAGGAAAATCTTTATTGACCTGATTTCTGTTGGTCATTGTGTTTTTAATTTTTTATCTTTGAAACTAGCAGCATTGCCTCGCAGAAAAGCTGGGTCCACAGAGGTCCAGAATGAATCTCTACTCTCCCTGACTCCAGGAGACAAAAAGAAGAACATGGATCTCCATACAGAAATGACCTCCATGAGGTCTGACACTCTCCACCATTGCAGCAGAGGAGAAAACCTGAGGGAGAATTCCAGAGGTAAGGGACCACACAGGACAGGCAGGGCTGTGTAAATACTCATTCACCTTATGTATTCTCTGCTCCCATTCTATCACCCAGTGATTGAAAACAGACAGAGAATACATAATGGGACAATAGAAATGTGGGAAAAGCTGTGTCCAAGGAATGACCCTCATACTTTGTTGTTGTTTTTAGGAGCAGTAATAGCAGTGCTTTATCTGAAGTCTACAAAACCCAACAATGCATTCTTGGAAGACAAGAGCCATGCTCGGCACAGGGAAGCTGGAGGTCAAAGCTCATGGGGTGGCCCTCCTTCCATCAGCTGTGGTGCTGAGACAACCTCTTAGTCTCTATGGACCCCAGGTTCCTCATCAGTGAGGTAAAGTGTGTATTGTTCCTCTCTGAGGTCCTGCTGCTTAGGTTCCTCTGAGTCCCTGGGGAACCACACGTGCCCTGGGAACTGAGGCTGAGAGCTGACCTAGTCCCTCCTGTGTCTCCTCCCAGATCCAGAACTGAGTCCACATCCTGAGAACCCAGAACTGAAGGTGCAGATGAAGGAAGATGAGCTCTCTGGGACGTGAGAATGACCCAGAGAATGACAAGGTAATGTTAGGGTGAAACCAAGTGTGGGTGAGATGAAGGACACATTGTGTCAGAAACCTCAGGGGATACTCAGAAAGGCCTACTCCACTGTCCAGCCCTGAAGGAGCCACCTTCCATGAGACTGAGGTCAGGAGAGAAACTGACTCCACAGTGAACCTGTGCACCTGGCCAGGGAGATCCCTGGATGGAATCAGAGCAGGTTTATGCTGAACACAAGCTTTCCATGCAAGCTAGAGATCCTGGTAACTTCAGTGTCACCACCAAAAAAAAAAAAAAAAAAAAAAAAGAGGGAGAGAGAGAGAAGCACACCCTTCCTGCCCTCTTCAGCTAGGTACATTTTTCCACCCATGCTCAATTCCGCCATGCAACACACTGCACAATCCAATAAAATGGCAGTGGTGCAGTCACACGGCCCCAAAGTAAGGATTCCCATGATCCCCACATGGGGCCAAGACCTATGTACATTGTTCACAAGGCTTTTGCTTTCTCTGTGCTATAGTGTGACAGCACTCACAGAACTCAGTAGCCAAAATAATTAATCATTCATCTGAGAAATTGGCAAAGGACCTGAGTAGACATTACTCCATGAAAGGAATATGCATTGCTACCAGGTTTATGACAAGTTGCCCATTATCAGTACTCATCAGGGAAACACCATTCCAAACCACAGAGGGATATCCCCTCAGAACCATATGGTCAGCTGCTTTCACAAAGACAAGAGAGAATAAATGTGGGCAAGGGTGTACCAAAAAGGAAACACTTTTACATTTGTGTGAGAATGTTGAGTGGTATGGCCATTATAGAAAACATTATTGAAGTATTTTTGAAATGTTAAACTAGAACTGTCAAATGACCCATTCATCCTCCTTATGGTATATGTGCAAAAAAAGAAGAAACAAAAACCGTATCAGATATATACCTGCAATCCCTAGTCGATGCCTTATTCACAGAGGCCAAGATGCAAACTGCCTAAATGTCCATCAACAGAAGGTTGGTTAAGCAATCTTGCTGTCCATATATATGGCTTGAAAAGTATATTTTAATAAAAGGATACTACAGAATTTCCATGACACTTTGGAATCACTTGAAGCTTTTGAATCATCTTAACATGTCTGTGTATAGATATTATATACATATAATGTGTAACAATACATTATACATGATAGATGTATGATGATGCTTAAATATATATTTATATGATGGAATGCTGTTCAACTCAAAGATAAAGGAACTCCTGTCATTTGTGAGAAACTGAATGAAATTGGAGGACATTATGGTGAGTGAAATAAATGAGATATAAATAATAACACTGCATGAAGTCTGTTATGTGTGGAGTCTGAAAGAAAAAATGGAAAATTGTTGAATATGTCAAAACAGAGAATATAAGAGAAGTCTTCAAGGTGGTGCAGTCTGGTGGGAAGAATAGAGAAATGTTGACCCAAGAGTACAAAGTGGTAGTTATAGAGAAGAACTAAATCTAGGGTTCTGAAGTTAAGCATGAGAATCTGAGTTATTAGTGGAGCATGCTATTCTCCATTAGAATGAGAAAGTCTGAGAATTTTCTAACAGTAGATTTTGTGGGTTCTTACCATGTGCAGGCACATAAGGTTAACTGTGAGATGATGAATATTTTATTTACTAGTCTAGAGGAATCATTACACTATGGATATGTACATTACAATATCATTTTTGAATATTTTAATAATTATTTTAAAAGATGTATTATTCTATTTGAAAAGCAGAGTTACAGACAGAGAGGAACACACACACTGAGAGGGAGAGACCTTGCATCTTCTGTTTCACTCCCCAAGTGCCTACAACAACAGGGCTGAGCCAGGCCAAAGCCAGGAGCCCAAAATGCCATCTGGGTATCTCACAAGAGCTCAAGGGCCAAGGACATAAGCCATGTTCCACTGCTTTCCCTGGCACCTCAACAGGGAGCTGGATCAGCTGAAAGTGGAGCCGCTGGGACTCCACCAGCACTCATAGAGGAGACCAGTGTCTCAAGTGGTGGCTTACCCCACTATGCCACAGTGGAGACTCCTACATCTATTTAGACATCAGAATTTAAAATTTCAAAAAAAAAAAAAAAAACAGTTTTGATCATCCACTCAAATGGAAACCTTAAAATGTGCAGCTTTTGGGACTGGCATTTCATTCAGCAGTTAAGTGGCTTTTGCAATGCTCACATATAGGCCCTACATATAGGATGCCTGTGGGTGAACTGAAAGTGGAAAGAAGGTACTAAAGAAGGATGCACATTCCCTAGGGGAGGAGAGAGCTTCCTCTTTGCTTATGGCCTTGTCGAGCTAGGTGGATCCAGAAGGCTTCTGTAGCTGAGGCAGCTCATGTCAAGCCCTGGGTGAGCACTGAGGTCAGACATAAGAGTGTGATTTGTTAAAGACACAGTGAGAGCCACTGTGCACTGCCCTCTGTCCTCAAAGCTGTATCAAGGGACTCATAGTAGAACTGTTCTCCAGAATCACTTCCTTTTAGTGCATTAAATGGAGGATATTCTTATGTCTCATAGGTTATAGTTCTGTCTAAGAGCTCACAGCAGATGTATCATCCGTGGGTTCTTCTTTGAAGACAATTAAGTTTCTAAAAGGAAAGAAGGGGAAGAGGAAGGGAATAGCAGAAGGGGGCAAAAAGTGAAATCCCCTTTGAGAAGCAGTAACCTTGGACAGCCCTTTGCTAGGCTGCTGAGTAACAGTTCTCTTAGTTTTCTTGTTCCTCTGTCTTTTTTTCTTTCTCAGACTAAACAGGAGAGTTGGAGGAGGAAGGGGGGAGAATAGGTGGGAGGGCAGGTAGGTGGGAAGAAGGACTATGTTCTTAACATTGCATTTATGCCATAGATACAATATAAATAAGAAGTTAATTTAAAAAACCACTTCAAATATGTAACACCCATATTCCTCAAAATAAGTTTGCCATCATTATAAAATTAGTTGCAGTAATTATATAAAATATTATTAAAAGCATTAGGTTCTTCCCATACATTTGCAGAACAAATTGGAGTTCTGCACACCAAGTGTCACCCTGGCCAAGCCTGACTGTTGCATGCTTTGGGGAGTGAAATAGTAATGTAACACATAGTTTTGGTTGTGTTTCTCTGTGTGTATGTCTCTACATCTTCTTACATCTCAAATAAGTATAATTAAACAAAGAACATTTTCATTTCCATATGTTCAAATATGTTCAAATTAATATGTTCAAATTTTCTGTTCAAAGTCATTGATAAGAAGATGAATATACAGGCCAACATAGGGAGAAACTTTTTGAAATTGCATACCTAATATAACAATTCTATCCAGAAAACTAAAAGAGCTCTCAAAATTCCTTTCTAAGATAATAAAATGACCCATTTATCAGGGAAGCTTAAAATTCACCATTTCAAACAGGTAGAAAAGCCTTGAGATCTCTTTAAACAGCAGGTGGGGTGACTTCCTAACAGCCCTGAGAAAGGAAGGCTTGTTGGGACACATTTTCTGCCTTGGTATTTTCATACACATACATGACTATACGAGCGATACATGCTTAGGTGATTTGGGGACACGTGTCTGGTATCAGTGCAGGATCTATAACTATGAGACTGGCAGATGGGTAGGTTGTCCCCACCAGTGGGGGTCTGTGCCTCAACCTAGCTTAGGCCCCTGGAAGGCAGAGTTCCAAAGATTCCGTGACACGCTCCACCTTCTAATTCTGCGATGGCAACGGCAGACCGTTAGCTGCCACACAACAGCCAGTCCTAGCAGAGACTGAGCTACAGGCAGTGCCTTGAATCTAGGCTTTGGCAGTTTTATCCTTGTTTGTCCAGTGAAGAACTTCCCAGTGTTGTCGGGCTGGATCAGGTGTTTCACATCAGTAAGTGAGCTGGATGTTATTGTCACCCCTCAAGCCTACCTGAAACTCTTGGATGTCATTGTTTGACCCTCACCTGTGTTTGGGTTTCCTCTCCCCAGTCCCTGTTGTCCTGCTGTGACACACCATCAGCATGGCAGGATCCCACAGCCCTGCATCAGATCCGTGGCAGAACTGAACGACCTCGAATGCCAGCAATTGCGATCCCAGCTGGCAAAGAGCCAACAGGACTGCTGGGAGCTCCAGGAGAAGTTTCTCATAGCTGAGGCTACAAACTTTGCCCTGGCCAGGGAGCTGAAAAAATACAGTAAGTTCTCTCGGGTCATTTCACCACAGTGATGATTGTCCTGTATCTTCTCTGAGGAACTAAATGGTTTTACCTCACTACGTGATTGTTGTCTTCTTTTTGCTGAACTTAATTTCCTCCTGACCACACTCCCAAGCTGACACACAGGGTTTCGCAAGTTTTCCAAGGTAGCAGTGAGTTGTAGGGTGACAGGAGTGCTGAATTGTCATGGATTCCTGATGAGGCATAGAGCTGCCTGTTGTCCTCAGGTCAGGCTCCACCATATGAGTGCATGTTTATGATCATCCTGTCTGTGTCAGCTCCTGCAGCCTTATACCATCACTGTGGGCCTCATTTCTGGGGCTAACGCATTCACTCAATTCAAGCTTCCGTTGAGTTCCCATTGGCAGAGCACTGTCCTAGGTCAGGAGTGGACATGTGTTCAGAGTGAGCAGGATGTGCTTCCAGAGAGACAGAGAGTCTCCTGTGCACTGGAACTCTGGTATCCATGAGAACACCCTCACAACACTCCCCCTGGGAGAAAAGTCCTGCTCCTGGAGCACAAGTTCTTCTCCAGAAGAGGAAGACGGTGCCTGAGACCTGGGAGTGGGAGCACAGGGTAGTGGGGGGGAATCAGGGCCACTCGCCTGGGTGCCCCCATTGCCCACCTTCTCTGTAACTTCAATTTCTCTCCCACTCATAGAGTATCATAATGCCTGCCTCTGTAGATTGTCACAACCAAATGCGCTCCTTCTTTCCTATACAAGCTCCAAGGATGGTTCCTTGCTCAAGATCAACAGAATCCATGGCCCTTATTGTACTGTTTCAATTAGCAGGAACTATACTTTTATTGGGCCATATTGCCTCAGGGCCTTACTTTGTTATACATTGTACTCTACACAGTCCATGAAAGATGGTCCCTTAAGTCTGAAATAACAAACTTGAAATCTTTCCCAATGCAAGGAAACAGTCCTACACCCTTATCAAGCTCCCAAAATACAGAAGGTGACGACTTCATGCCCCAAGTTCCTGTTTGACCTGAGAGGCTGCAAGGCTTGCTGAGTCCAGTGGCTCATGATTCAGCTCAGGGGCTGGGAACTCTGATTCTGTAAACACCAGTGGAATCATTGTCAAGTCACTTCTGTATCTTTGAATTTTCATTTATTGGGAAATAGCAGGGTCGTGCTGTGGTTCAGCAGGTAAAGCCGCTGCTGCAGTGCTGGATCCCATATGGGTACTAGTTCAATTCTGGCTGGTCACTACCAATCCAGCTCTCTGCTATGGCCTAAAACAGTAGAAGATAACCAATGTGGCTAGGCCCCTGAATCCACATGGGAGACCTAGAAACAGCTCTTGGTCTGGCTTCACATTGGCACAGCTCCAACCTTGCAGCCATTTGGGGAGTGAATCAGCTGATGGAGTCCTCTCTCTCTCTCTTCTCTCTCTCTCTCTCTGCCTATGTCTTCTGTAACTCTGCCTTTCAAATAAATAAATAATCTTTTAAAAATAGGAAATTTCAGATGCTATGTAGTGAGGTGATGAAATACAGAGGTGAAACTCCCAATCTGGAGCCTGGCCCTGGAGTTCTTTTGGTCTTCAGCAGGCACTGACTACAAAAGCACCTCCCTGAGTTCTGCGTGTCTGTCTTTCCCCAGATTGTGAGAAGTTTAAAAACATCATTGAGTCCATACTGACCAAGAAGCTCCACTTGGAGGAGCCGCTGGCAGAGAAGCCCACGGTCCCAGAGCTGCTCAGGTAAGGGTCTGTGTGGGCAGGCAGGTGGGGAGGTGTGTGGGTGTCTCCGGTGGGGCAGCTCAGAAGGGAGAACTGAGGCATCTCAGGCATGGAAAGCCAAGGCACTGTGGCAAACAATGTTCTCCATGTAGGATCACTGTGGGACCCCAGACAAAGAAGTGGCCATCAAAGGAGGATGCACTTTTCTCTAAGGGAGGAGAGAACTTCCACTTTGCTGATGGCCTTGTCTAAATACAGACAGAGTTTTCAAAATGCTTCCATAGCCTAGTCAGCTCATGTCATGAGCCTTGTGTGGTCCCTGACAACATACAGAGGAGTGCTAATTGTTCAATTAACAGCAGGAGTCACTGTGCACTGACTCCCCATGCAGGACCTCTGTCCTCAATGAGTTGTATTAAGAGAGAGTTACAGTGAAACATTTCTCAAACAGTTTTTATTCTTGGGTGGGTGTGTGTGCACATTGTTGAAATCGTTACTTAATATAGAGTTGGTCTTCTGTGTACAAAGTTCATTGAAAATGCATCTTAAGGAGAATGAGATTGAGAAGTAGAGAGGGAAGAGGAGCTGGGCTGGGAGTGTGGGTGGTACCCTGGGTATGGGGAGAAGAATAACTATATTCCTAAAGTTGTCTTATGAAATGTATATTACTTAAATAAATGAATGAATAAATTTTTTAAAAGAAATGTTAAAAATTAATTTTACAATGAAAGTAAAAGTGAATAGGTACTTTGAAAAAATTCTCCCTTCAGGAGAATTAAAATGAAAATACATTCCCTCCCAATTACTGTTTATTTCCCTAATAAAATGGTATGAATAGATAATAAAAAAAAAGACATCATGGAGTCCATGTTGACCAAGAAGCTACACAGGGAGGCCCCTGCCAAAGCAGTCCAGGTCTGAGCTGCTCAGGTAAGGCTCTCTGTGTAGGGCAGGCAGGTGGGGATGTGTGTCACTAGTGGGCAGCCCAAATCAAAAACTGAGCCAGCCTGTGCCAACAAGGGCAGAGATTACAGCAAAGCCCTGTCTCAGACGTTATGAAACAAGGAGGGAGCAGAGGAATCTGAATTCAGAGCTGCAAGTGCGGAGAGTCTGTAAGTAAGGTGTCCAGGTGGATGGGCTCCCATGGGGCCCTCCTGTTTACTCTCTCTTCTGCAACAGGAAATCCCCATGGCTGTGTTTCTGGGAATCCAGTCACCAGTTAGCTTTGGTCCTCTGTAGGTGGTGCTATGCCTGTTCTCTCTTCCTCCCGTGTTCTCATGGCTCCCTTAGTGTGGAGGTGCTTTTCTGTGGGCACTCACCTCGAGATGGAGCTGCATTGGGTCTTCTCAGGGGAGGTAGAGGGGATGCTGGGCTCCTCTGTTTGGTCATCTTGCAATCAATCCTCATTTACCCTTAGTCACCATCACCTCCCGATATAGAAGACTCATACTTAGCTTGGCCCTGCCAGACCTTCATTCTTGTTTCTTGCCATGTAACCCCTGTGTGCACCATGATCCCAGTCACTACACTGTACACTGTGTGTCTTCCTACATGGAAATGCCTGTGGCTGGAAGAAGGAACTGAATTAGCACCTTTATGAAGGCGAGAAGGAAGAATCCTTGCACTGTTGATAGAACATGACCTGAATGGAATCTCAGGAATTGTGACAAGATCTTTCTCTAAAAGTGGGAGCAAGGCCTTGTGTTGCCCTTTGCTTCTTGGCACAGGTATTTCTCCAAACCTGAGTGGTGATGCTGGTGGAGGGCTCTATAAGGCATTGTTATGAAAATCTGTGGAAACACAGAGCCTAACACTCATCCCTTCCCATCTAGAACTTTCTCCATGCTTGCACCTTAGGCATTGCCGTGGCATCCTTGAAGATCAGGACCAAGAACTTTCCCAGTTACCCAAAGGTCCAAAGGGGGAGAAATCTAGCCCACATCCTGCAGCAGTACCTGAAGGACGTGCTCACCGTGCATGACCCTGAGACCTGTACGGGGCAGGGCTTCCGACGACTGCTCACTGAGGCTGTCCGGCTGTCAGCGTGCCTTGAGGACCTGCTTGGAGCAGGTAAGCTGGGCACAGGCTGTCATGTGAGAAGCCTCAGGGGTTCAGATGCATTCATCTCTGCCATGGGCATTTGCCTCAGATCTTCTTGGTACTGAACATGTGTACCAGGACAAGGTCAGCACTGCTTGGGAAAAACAGATAGGGGCAGAGAAGTCTTTCAAGTTTGCAGTATCCCAAAGGTCTCCTCCCTTCCTGATTGTGGTTGGCCTTTGGGGAAGAGGCAGGGTCCATCCTCATATCAAGACCAGAAAGACCTTGTGAAGTGAGGCCACTGTTAGGCTGAACAAAGTCACTGAGCTAAGTTGAATGGAAGCCTCCAGCTCTGTGCTCAGTGTGGTTTTCAAATGGTAGACAGCTGATTGCTTTCTCCATCCAAGATTTCTCTCTCCTCATTCACTAGATGGACCAAAAAATCTGGGGCAGAGCAGATGTAACCATCAAAGGTGGAAGCTGTTGCTTGTAGGTTTCCCAATAGGACAAAGGCCCTCCTCTCCCTGGGAGTGCCAGACCAGGCACTAGAGTTAGTAGAACTTCAGTGAGGAAAGCTGTTGAGAAGGGAACTCGTAACAGAGAGAATTTCCTCTAATGATACAGCAGAGAAAACGTGGAGGGCTTGTGAGGGAGGGATGGAAGTCGGGTTCTTTGCTTCTTCATGACAGATGGAGGTTCTCTGTGAGACCCATGGGAACATAGAACCCATGCCTTGGACTCCCACTAGTGGCAGGATGAGGGATAACAGGCAGAAGTCCCAGGGAAGCTTGAGAAACTTCTAGTGATATGGGAGCAAAGGATGTTGGCCTAGTTTCAGGCAGAATCTGCCATGGTTCTGATCTCCAAGTGCAGAGACACAAAGCCTGATGGACCACAAGAGAATGGCAAGGTTTCTTTAAACACAGAACATTTGAAGTTTTTGTCCACTATTGGCCCATATGTAGATATTCATATGCACACAGAGGCCACCTTGATTGTATGGGGGGTGATATATCTGATTGGACATTTCTGAATTTGTTTACAGAAAATATTGAAGAGGAGGAAACACCAGCACAAGGACCTGTTGCTGACAGGTAATAGTGAATGATTAGGAGCTGGCAACAAATGGGTGAAGGATGCGCAGGGTCTCCTAAAGAACAGAAAAGGGGCCGAGCAGTCATGGAGTTGAGACACACAGAAACACAACTGCAGATTGTGTTGAGTCCTTCCTTGCCAACTAGGAAATCCCCCTGTTAAAGTAGTTGTCTGTTGTCCTAGTCCTAGTTGCTGATAGGATCCATCATGAACTCACAGCCTTAGGTGTTGCCTGCACACAAAGGGAACCCCTGTTCTCTGCTTTCTGGAAAAGGGAGGAAGATGCGAATCTGCTTTCTACAGAGTTAGCTGAAGTTCTCATCAGAGAAAACTAGCAAAGAATCAATGGGCAAAGGGAGCAGTTAGGAAGAATCCAGCCAGGTTCAACTGCAGAAAAGCACCTCTACAAAACCATGTTTGCTGTCCTGTGACTTGGTTAAGAGAAGGCCCAGAAGGTAGCACATCTCTAGAATCTGCCAAGCCCCTAGGACCTTGATCACATGGCTGCAGGACACTGCAACAACCCAACCTGAGCACAGGGTGTCAGCCCGCGTGGCTGTCAATGTGTGCTTGTGCTGTGACTGTGCCATGCAGCGACAGTGGAGGCTGCTTCCTCATTAGCTGCTGTGTATTGAGTGTGATGAGCAGAGGCTGATCTCTTCCCAGGCCCTCTCCCCTAGGCAGCCACACGGTGTCCAGAGTGGAGGGAACACCTCTATGCTGTCTATGACGATCCCTTATGCACCCCATCCAAACCAGCCACTCCTGGTGTCTCTTCCTTCTTGGTTTCATCTCTGTCATCCTTATCCCACCTGGCTTCTCAGGGAGCTCTTGGAAGTGGATGAAATGGAAACCCCACAAATTCACAGCAGGAAACATCTATCACTGGTGCTGTTGACCACCTGCTGAGTGACTCCTGCCTGCCTGAGGGCACTGTGCAAATGTCTCCTGATGCTGAGGACACCCACGGTGTGCTAGGTGTAGATGGGGAACACGCTTGTTCACAAAGAAAGAAGAACCTGTCACCGTTCTCCCAGGTAGCCTCTCCATTCTTTGTACACAATGGCTCTCAGGTGAGGGTGCTTTTGAGCACAGGCCCTGCAGACACAAGTTGGTTTCAGTCAGGGTCCAGGTTGTGGCACTGAACAGAGACATCAGGAGAGTCAAGGAGCTTCCCTCCCCTCAGATGCAGTTTGCCTCACTGCACCCTAGCCTATGGGAACATACAGAGGCCCTGTGTAGGAAGTGCCTTTCAGACACTCTAACTTAGAAATAATGCCTGCTGTCACCTGCAGTGATATCATTCTGTTCTACTACTGCATCCCTGGAGTTCTAGCCCCATGCAGGCTTTTGGTAACACTTCCCATGTGTGGGCCAAGTTGTGATCCTAGTTTCCCTACTTCCATCCCTAGTCTCTATCTCCTTTAAGACAGCTTATCTTAGCTATGCAATCATCTCAAAACCAGGACATAAAGTCTTTTATACTGTACTTCCTGTACAGTTCAAAAAACATAGCTGAATCCAGGAACGTCCCTACAAAATCATGTTCAATGTTTCTCTATAACTGCATAGATTTATTTGTGCGAGGTATTATGGAGTTCATTCAGCCTTCTATAGAAACTCCTCTACCCTTATTCACCATGATCAGTCTGATAGGATGAGTCAGTAACATAGCAACACTCCTAGATTTTAGATACATAAATCCTAAAGGGCCTGGGGAGAGAGCTCTTGAATTGCTTGTATTGTTCCCATAGACAAGAGGGAGATTATTCATGAGCAACTCTTAGAATAGCCAAGATTCTGTGTGGCATCAAACAGGTTTCAATTCCAGGGCATGCAGACTCCATGCATAGCTCTCTCCCAGTGTTCTACCTCCTCTCCACAGTCAGCAACCTGGGTCCTTTAATGAGAGCAGCCTGACAACTGCAGTTTGCCTCCTAGGAAGTTCTTGGGCTGTGAGCTTAGAATCCCTGAGGACCATTGCAGGCTGTTTCTAAGGGTTCTGGACAGAGGTTATTGAGATGTGATCCAACTGTGAACAGGGAGATTTGACCCCTTGCCCAGGATGGCTCACCAAGCCCATCTCCTGATGTACTTAGTCCTCCTGGAGGATTTCTGTCACAGTCTCCTGTTCTCACACGAACAATCTGTCCCTTGGTAGTAGTGGCCATGGAACACCATATCTGACCAAAACCTGCTTAACCTGGTCAATCTCTCTGAATTTGTTTGCAGAAAATCAATATCACGAAGTGGAGGTACAAGAGCAAGTTGTCACATGCACTTCCAGGTAACTCGGAGGCAGAGCAGACAGTGTAGCATGGACTACTAGGGAATCAAAATGCTGGAGAAACTGGTGACTAGAGCCATTTGGAACATTCAGCCAATGATGAAATGGCTCTGTTCATAATGTTCCCTTTTGCATTGTTTCCCTCTATATTCCCCCTTTGAACATCCCTCACATATTTTAACCTGTAGTCTGATGACAAAGTCACTTCTGTACCTGTGATGCTGTCTTCAGTGTCTCTGCCCTCCCATCTCAGCAGGGAGCTCCCAGAGGAGCAAGAGCAGGAAGACCCAGGGACTCACTGGACGAGTGCTACCTCACTCCCTCGATTTTCCGGTCGTTTCTGAGCTTGACCATTCCACGTGGAGCAGCTGGTGCTCCCTGGAGCAGCAGGACATGCTCTCTGCTCCAGATGCAAATGGTGAGTCCCCACTGTGAGGTGATACAACCCCCTCTGCTTGCCAAGGAGCCCGCACTATCCTTGCACTCATCACTCCCACCTGACTGAGAGGGCTCCTGGACATGGGATGGTCTGAGACGTTCTCAGCATCTGTTCTTTTTCAACCAGTCTGTTGCACAGGTGTGGTTGGCCCATCCAGCCTTGCTGTCCTCCCATTCCTTGTGTGGCTTTGTCACTCAGATTCCAGTGCTCAGTCATTGCCAGAAGAATGTCACAGATGCACACCACCTAAGCAGCACATCTCATGCTTGTCTCTGCCATCCTTCCTAATGAAGCAGACCCCTCTGCCCCCTGCAGTGTTGATCACACGAGTCATTCCCCATCCCTGTCATGTGACATTGTTTCCTGTCAGAGCCAGCATGCTCGTCTCCATTGCAGTCAAGATACTCCCCCTGTTTCATTGAACCCAACCACGTTGTCTGTCCCTTCAACGTTGGCATCATTTCACCTACCACACATACAGAATGTTCTGCCATTCCTTTAGTAGTGTGTCCCCAGGCTGCAGGTCTGAGACCTGTGCTTAGAGATTCCATGAGTAGCCAAGTTTTCTCTTGTGCTGCACACATCACTCTGATACCCAGAACTGAAAATTCACCTGTTCCACCTTTATCTTATCCTCAATGTACAAAATATGGTAAACCACAAACTACCAAGATAGCTTGTTTGAGAACCATGGGCACTGCACTTCCTCTCATGGAAAGGAATCACACTAGGAACCAAGCATCTCCAGAGAATATTATTTTAGATTTGATTTTACCTTATGAAAGGCAGAATTAGAGAAACAGGGAGAGAGAGAGAAACAGGGAGAGAGAGAGAGAGGCAACTCTTGCATACTCTGGTCTGCTCCCCACATGGCCACAATGGCATCGACTGGACCAGGCCCAGGGAGGAACTAGGAGTTTCCTCCAGGTCTCCTATGTGGGTGCAGGGCCCAAGTACTGGGCCATCTTCTACTGCATTCCCAGGTGCATTAGAGGGATTGGATCAGAAGTAGAACAGCCAGGACTTGACCGGCATTGACATGGGATCCTGGGGTTAAAGGCAGCAGCTTTACCTGCTTGCCACAGCACCACACTTGGGAAAATTTGTTTCATTTCTGTAGGAATCAGGTCAGATTATTGGTGTGATGACTGGAGGAATAGGGAGGTTTACCTCATGTGTCAAGAAAAATGAACAAGCTAGTTCCCTCAGAAATGACCTCCACCCTCTAGACAATTCCTATCTGAGGAGTCGGCAGTGACACTGAGGATACTGGTGTGCTGTGCTAGTGGACAGCGCATTGTACAGGCTTTGAGGGGATCATCCTAGATGACTGTGCCTATTTGAATTCATTTGCAGAAAAGGAACATGACAATGATGAAGTGCAAGAGGAAGCACAAGCCCTGTCACACACCAGGTGAGTCTTAGGAACCCTGGGCAGCGAGCTTAGTGCTGACACGGGCAGACTCCAGGTCCAGAGAAGAAGAGCAGTGCCACTGTGCATCTCCCATCCATTGAGCCAACCCTGCGGTACCCCGTCAGCACTGCTGTCTGCCATCATTAGGGTACTAGTCTGGGTTTCCACTTCTCCCTACCTTTTCCACGTAGTGACCTGCAGCAGGCTGACTCCATGAAGGAGCCTCTCCAGGGATTCCTTGCCATCATTGCCCCTCTTGTGTGCAGTGAAGGGCAGGGTGCTGCTCACAGGTCTCCTCTTCTCATGAGCTTCTCTGCCCCCCATTAATCATGTAAACCACCTGACAGAAACTAGTGCCTCAGCACTGAGAATAAGACTGACGGCTAAATCCGTGTAGTCTCCAGTATCCCAAGGGGAATTCATTGACTCTGCATGTTTACATAAATCTGTTGAAGCCAGTTTTCATTTCCAAATACTCATGGGTACTAGTGGACCAACTGAGAGTCATTTCTCCAGGCTGAGTCCCTAATGACCTCATCACAGAGGAAATCCTCTGTTTCTCTCTGCTTCTGTCTCCATGCCCTGTCAATATCTCGCTACTCACTATCACCTCAAACCTAATACTCTTTCTCCAAGAAGATGAGAGTTCTGTTTGCCTGTTACTTTAATGACTTCAAGCAGTACAAATAAGCATAAAGAAGTCTACAAGCACACATAGATTTAATATTTGGCTGTAGTTGATTCGTGTGTAAATATTATATATCTACACATACTTACATTCTAAGTGAAGGCAGTGTTTCTGTTTTACCTGGCTTTCTGTTTGCCACGTGCTTCCTATGAGCACTTCATTTTTCCTCACATGAAAGCTGCCCTGTGATAACGTTCAGTTCGTCTACTCCAGGTGGTCAGCAAGGAGCCTCCTCAAATGGAAGACATTGCATCCTGTCTGCACCGTTAGTAGCCAGTCTTCCCCAGATAGGGACAAAGTTGTGGGTGGCCCCTTGCTCAGCCCAGCCACTTCTGGAAGCCTCCTCTTGGAACAGCTTGGAAAGGGGCTTTCTGTTCCCTTTCTGTTTCTCACCCACCTTTCCCTCCCTCCAGTCTCATCAGGGAGATTCCAGAGATTGAAGATCAAGATGTCTCACAAGACTCTCACGGTACGTGTTTGACTCCTGCACTTCTTCGGAAGCTTCTGACTGGCCCATTCTAGGAGCACCTGGTCCTCACTGGAGAAACAGCCTGTCTGCTCTGCTCTTGTTGTAGACAGTGAGTGCTCCATTGTGAACGGGAACACTCCACTGGTCTCCCACGTGGCCTCTGTAGTCTTGGGTTGCTGCACCTGTGTTGGGTGAGACAGACCACTGTGCACTCAGGCCCTGGGCACTTATCTCAGTCTGGATGTGGCTCTTGGGTGGAGTTTGTTCATAGTCATCCAACAGGGGAATCCCTTGGCTGTCACCAGGCCCACTTTCAAGGTGCAGCTTTTGACGTCAAGGCAGGGAAGGAGGGGATGGGAAGGCAGGATGGCAAACACCGAGCCACCACCATCTCTCTTGGAGAGGCTTCTTGAACAAGTCACTGTGATGTTCTTAATTTTAACAACAGTTGCAATTGTAAACAGCATCCTCCAAACTTCTCAGGCTTAAAGCTTTGGCAGTCTGTACAATGTTTCCTTAGTTATCTGACTAGGTATCCTTGGTGGCAGACTCTGTTTTCTCTGAAG